ATGAAATTGAATTAATGAATTTATATCACCAAAAAAAAAAGAAAGAAAAAACAGAGTGTGGTTTTCATTAAAATGAAAAGGTAACAAGTAATTTTTTTCTATACATAGTCTCTGCCAACAGTGCATTATGACAATAATATACCACTACATTCTTTGTTTTCATAGAGCAATTACAGAGGTTGGTTTTTCAAATTTTGCAGATTTCCTAAGACTTATTTTACATACTTCACAATAAAATCATAATTTTTATTACTATTATATTTTATTGAAGTATAGTTGATATACAATACTATATTGGTTTCAAGTGTACAGCATAGTGATTTGACAGTTATCTACATTATTAAATGCTCACTCCAAATAGAATGATGTTAGAGAATTACTGACTATATTCTCTATGCTGTACTTTCATCCCCATGACTAATTTATATTATGACTGAGATTCTGTGCCTCTTTATCCCCTTTATCTATTTCACCCACCCACACCCACTCCTCCCCCTTCATAACCACCAGTCCCTTCTCAGTGTCCGTGGGTCTGTTTCTGTTTCTTTCTTTTGTTTTGTTTTGTTTTAATTCCACAAATAAGTGAAATCATATGGAATTTGTTTTCCTCCATCTGGCTTATTTCACTTGGAATCATACCCTGTAGTCCCATCCATATTGTCACAAATGGCAGGATTTCTTTCTTTTTTTATGACTGAATAATATGTCTTTGTATAAATATACTACATCTTCTTCACCCATTCTTCTATTGATGGGCACTTTGGTTGTTTCCATATCGTAGCTACTGTAAATAATGCAGAAATAAACATAGGAGTGCATATATCTTCTCTAATCAGTGATTTTGATTTCTTTGGGTATATACCCAAAAGTGGAATTACTGGGTCATATGGTATTTCTATTTTTCTATTTTTTTTTTTTTTTTGCTTTTTATAGTGGCTGCACTAAGTTACATTCCCACTGACAGTGGAGAATTCCCTTTTCTCCACATCCTCACCAACACTTGTTATCTTTGCCTTTTGAATAGTGAAGACAAAATAGTTTGTGAGAAGGTATCTCACTGTGGTTTTGTATAATCATTATTTTTAAAGCACCCCTCTATCATTATTTTTTTTACATTTTGTTTTTCATTGTTAACTAGTTTAATTCTGAGAAATCTTTGTGTAATCTGAGCTGTTCCCCAATGCTACTTTCACTAACTTAATGAAGTCCTACAACTTTTTCAAGATCTACAATTAATCCTGGCAATCCATTTGTACTAAATTTGCATTAGGTTACTGCAATCCAACAATCATCTAGATACTTATCTATAAAAACTTTGTTGAGATGAGTAGAGCTAGATTTAGATGCTATGCAGAAAATATTGTTTGGGAGCAGTCCCATAATGTTTCTGTTGTACAGTTCCATAAATATTTCTATTATATCAATTTGAGTGTATTTTCCTATTATACCAATAATCTTTTTTCCATGCAAATTTCTAAGTGTGGGATCTCATATAATGAGAATTCATTCACTCCTTAAGAGATTCTTCACTCCTTGTATTACAGACCCAGAAGACATGAGTGAGTAGACCCAGGGGCACAGAAGCAAATGTATGAGACTAAACTTAGGTATTCTTAATCTGCATTGTTTTTAAAATACCATGAAACAGCAAAATATAGATATGGACTCAGACATTTCCCCCAGTCCCAGAGGAATAATGTTCTCCAAAAGCCACATGAAGTTAATCCTTTATTTCTCCCTTTGCACAATGCATAAATTCAACTAACTTATATGATATACATTTTTTTATAAATAATAGGAAACCAGATTTCAGTTAGGTGTCATAAATAATTTTCTGAAAGTCTATTAAATACTGAATATTTATGAAGTAATATTTAGAATATCTTCTCTATGTTTTTGAAAAACCAGTTAACACTTTTAGTATATTACAGTTAACATTCTGTAGCAACATATACAGTGAACACGATGGTTTCTTGTAATACTTCACAGTTCCCAAGAGGGACATGGTTATATATGACCGCTACTCTCTTTGTGTTGGGACAATGCTCTCCTATAAAGTGCATTTAACATTATTCTGAAGATAAAGGTTTGTGTCTGTATTCTGACTCATTAACCATAGCTTTAGACAAATCATTACCTTTTTGGGTCCTGGCTACATCATTTATAAAATAATGGTGGAAGCAGGATGAGTTGAAAAGCTCTTCCCTTTCCTTGATCATGTAATACCATCACATAATTCATTTTCAGAACTTAAAACGGCCATGCAAGGAAGGAACCATTCTCATATACAGTGTGTATAGTAAACTGCGGATAAATAGGTTCACCCTCTTGATTTTGGTAGGACAGTATCTAAATGCACATACCCTTTGATTCTAATCTGTTGCCATACCCTCACAAGAGCATGAGAAACTATGTGCAAAGATAATCACTAAGTCACTGCTTGTAACAGTTAATGACTGAAGGTAACCTAAATATCTACAAATAATGTAGTAATGGTCATGCTATCTATATTCTTGAATACTGTGAAGTAGAATTACACGGATATTATCCATGAACAACATATGAGTGTATATGAAAAAAAAAGTTGAAGAATTACATATTATAGACTTATTCAATTTCTCTTAAATTTAGGTTTAGATATTTTAAATATATACATACATATACATGTACATAGATATGAATATATATTTTTATAACTCTATGTGTTTGTATGTACATGCGTGTGTACGCCAAGGAGTAATCCAATTTAAATTAGTATTATACATAGTTAATCCAATTAATGCCTACTGGTTTCATAAGTAACTACTATCTGAAAGTTAAATTGTAGCCCTACATATAATATTAAAATATGGTTTAATTTATATGCCTCTTTTTTCTACTTTTACCTATATTATTTTAGTAATTTATGTGCCTGAGATTAACCAAAATTTTTCATTAAAATGAAATGTTCTATTTAAATAATGACGTTTTTCCAGATAGTGAACTCTTAAGATGTTTCCTAACAATGCCACATAAAAAATCCTTTAAAATATAATGCATTTAATGCCTGCCTAGAGCAAATACACAAAGTGAATGTGTTGTACAAAATGTCAACAGTAGATGGTGCACATTTGCTCTTCTTAAACCAGCTTTGCGGTTTAACCAAATAAAAATACAAAATCCCTCTGAATTTTTAAAGTACAGCAAATCAGAGTTCTTAAGAACTAACTAAAGAAACTAATAATACCCATCTAATTTCCTGCAAATGATCCTTTACTGTTTTGGAGTTTGGATTCAGAATTGAGCAAAAGAAAGAAAACTATCAAAGTTTTCAGTACAGTTCTATGAAAACTAAGAAAAGAATGCTTGTCAGATTGACAGAGATCAGTTAAATGTCACTGAAGAGGAATGAGTCTGTGGTGCAGAGCAGGATGTAGGTAAATATGACAAGATTATCATGTCAAAGGTGGATGATATTGGAAAAATAGTGGAAAGCTGGGTTGTAGTATATTTTATCCTACAGTTCACCTGTAATACTCAGGGCCCTGAGCACAAAGGACCTCTGCTTTCTAAATATTGCTTCCCTCTTCAACTCAAAACTACTTCATAAAGGGAAGGGAAATATGGAAGTGGTTTTAAACATGGTTGTAATCTGAATTACATGGGTAGCTATATTCCTTTTAAAATTGTGCTCCAGGGGCTCTACATAATTCCTAAAACAAAATCTCTAAAGATGGAGTCAATAGCCATGATGAATAAGTGATTCTTTTAATAAATCATATTCACACATGAAATCATGAATTGGAACTTTTAAAAAATTCTCCATCTAAAAAGTTGCCTCATTCATTTACAGTCAAATATCCTCTTTTAAATTTATTGAAATATATTTTAAATATGAATTAACTATATACTAATCATTGTACTGATAACTCAATCTAGAAGAAAAAAATTTAACAGTGGTGCCTTACATTCACAGGAAATTTTAAAGATTAAATCTTCAAGTAACACATTCTTATTACAGAAGTATGTTTAATTTAGCAACAGGAGCATGATTAGTTCAATTGAGTTTTGATAAAATTCTGCATGTTAAACAGGATGGAAATACAAGCTGAAATACAAAAAAAAGATGCAAAATTTCCAACTACAAACAAAAGCTTGCATATCTTTATAATATATGAGGCTGGTATCAAGAAACTATGATATTTATATTCTCTTACATTTAAAATTTACATTAATTATAAAATGTTAACGTGTGTGATATATAAGAGATTACAGCTTTTGTAACTATTTAAACTTATGATGAAACTCTTCTGATGCCAAGTTTAAAATGTATGAATGGGCATATGGCTTTCAAAGTCCTCTCAGAATTCTTATAGACCATTGCCCAGCACTGTGATAAGTTTACAGAAGACAAATAGGCTGGGTAGTCTGTGCCCCAAAATGAATGTTTTCCTTCAATAGTAATCTCTTCAGACACATTGTCCATAATGCTAAGATTCTTCATAGAATTGTAGCCTCCAAGAAAAAAAAAGTATGTTTGAATTACATTCCTGGTTTAGGTGCATATTACACTTAAGAGTTTTAAAAAATGTATTCATTCTGGTAAGAAGGTAAAAAAAAATCTGATCTTTAAGTGCATTCATTGTTAGAACTATTTGTAAAGCTCCCTTATTTGCCGACATGACTTTGAAAAACTTTTCCAGCGATAGCCTGATACGTGCTGTGGGAATCAATACCCATTTTAATATGGGTCTATGCAAATTTAAAAGTAGGTAGGAGAGTCTAGTTGATAAATACTTCGCAGACTATTTCTGAGCCATATTTTAATTATTTGGCATTACAGATGCATGAGGTGGTCCCTGCCTTGCCTTCTCCTTTGATAGTGATAATTGGGTGTTTAAGTGACTTTGTGATTTGCAAACCCATTGCTAATTCATCTTTAAAAACTTCATGTAATGACTTGGGAATATTTGAATTTGGTCATTAACCACATGTCAAATTTTCTGAGGAATAGTACTTACCCTCTATTACATTTTGCTATTTCATCAAACAGAAGTTTCCACCGAGGACGTCCAATAAAAAGTCTTGAATTCAGTGCTTGATATTTTTCTCCAATTATCTTCTGCCAAAGAGAAAGCACTATATTTTATATGAGACAGAGCCAGACAAGTAACCCATTTCTCTAACATCATTTTTGCTAGCACTGTGGCTTCCTACCAAATTGCTGTGATATGAAGATTGTATCCAATGGCAACCTATTACTAAGTACAGTCATTTAGAAACATCATTTTCTTTAAAAGCCATTATCTTCTTGAATGCCATTATTACAAATGACTGATTTTTGTAGACTTCAGTTAGTTGCTTCATTTTTAAACAACTGCAGCATTAAAGGATGTATTCTAATTGCTTACTCTCAAAAAAGGGCAAAGCACATAAATTTTATTGAGGTGTTTTCATATCACAAATACAGTTGTCCTGTGATACCTGTGTCCCATATTTGGTTCATTATAAGAGTATATTAATACAAACTATCATTTTAAATTTGGAGAAATTATCCTAGACAAGGTGGCCTAAGAGAGAAGAGCCCCAAATCTTGGCTCTATCAACAAATAGCTTCTAATGGGCTAGTGTTTGCAATTAAGAGAATATTGGATCTGGGTTGGTAGTGAAGAATCAGAAGGAAGTGACAGAAGCAGAGAAAGTGTCTGAGTCCCAGGCAGACAGACTGAGAGCCGAACATCATTTATGCCCCATACCTGAATATTATGAGGGATAATGATACAGACTTGCTTTATGAGCCTAGTAAAATGGAATTTTTTACATACCTACTAGGGTAGACATCTGACTGTAAAAAATAGGGTTAGATTAGTTTTGAAGTAACTGAGAAGCATTCATATTTTGTATTCAAAGTATGATATAAAATGTGTGATGGAAAACACTAAAATAAAACTTGTAAAAGCATTCATGGCCATATTTGTACACCTATGCAGCTCTTCAGTGTTTTCTATAAACATCCGTCTCTTTATCCATAATATGGGAATGGCAATGTTATGTAACTCTTGAATCTGGTGGAATTGCATGAGATAATGTGTATGAAATTTTTAGCACAATGTCAAGCATAGGATATCAATAATGAATGATGGCTATTACTATTTTTCTAGTTTCCCTTAAAGGGAAATAAGCTGGCTTGTGTGTGACCTTATCTTCCCCTCGCTGAACACACTCATGGGACTGTTCATTCAGGGTCTGATCGCTGGAGATAAAGAATCTGAGAGGACAGTGAAGTGGACAGAGATGAACTCGAAAGTTCTGCTCCAGCTCTATTTGTGAGGAGGACAAATAGAAGGCATAACATGGTTGACTTCAAGCACAAGCCATGAATTTTCTGAACACATTCCAAAAGCGGCCTTCCTCTGGGAAACTTCTCTTCAAACCACCTGCAGAAATTTTCTTCCAGCACCATCCCTACAGTAAATCTATTATCGAGAGGCTTGTTTAATTTACAATAATATCCAACCACATACCTGTATCCCATCTGTTTGACTGAGGTACAGCTGGATATTGACATAGTCGGGTCTGTTCTCTTGCCAAAACTGAGAGGACATAGAAGTAGACATTAAAATTCCTCCTGCATATTCAGACTTTCTCTTATTTGAACATATGTGATGCTAGAATTTGTTAGATATATCTTGTCTAATTACAGTCAATGCCTACAAGCTAATGTGTATATATACATACATGGCACCTATGTGCCATTTACATGCCCGATTCTAACAATAACCTGCTGCCTAGGGGTATAATTATGTATGATGGTGGTAGTGGAAGGGAATAATTCTATTATCTCTAAAGATACAAAATCTAGCATGCTAAATACTACACTAATATCACCCTAAATCCTTCTCCACATATTTCTTATTTTATTCTCTATGAGTCCCTAAATTTTACCCCAGTTCACTTATAAAGAAGATGATTTTCTAAAATAAACAAACAAAAAGTCAATAGTGATATAAAATATGTATGCTAGGAATCACAAAACAAAACAAGCACAAAGAAATGGCACTGTTTCTGTCCCTACCTTCCTCCTGTTCAGCACTAGTTTCCCTTGTATAAAAAATGTATGAGGAAGAACATATACAGGCCAAAATAAAATAGTCTAGGAGAAAACTCGGACATTGATAAATCTTGAAAAATAACCTAAGAAAAATATCATGAAGAAAAATAAATGCAACCCAGGGGGTAAAAAGGCTTTTGTTGTCCTCCTATGCTCCCTTTTTCCAGAAGACAAAAATGAATCTGCTAACAATTGGCCTTGCTCTGACACAATCCTGACATCTGAAATCTATGTTTTAAAAAATATTCTTCTTAGGCCCTTCTTTCACTGCCCTGAAACAGGAGAAGCTGATAAGGAAACGACAAAGAAAAGGCACCAGAAGTGGAAGAAGAAGGGGAAGGAACACGGCAGCCATGGAGTGCTCTGTGGAGAACAGGGATGCGGGTCTGTAGTGGGGGTCCTAACGAAAGGCCTCGAAGGGGCCAGTACGTCCTCAATAGCCAAACTACTTCTTGCGTGTAGAGACCTGGGTGGATTTGCTTGAGATGGTAAGGCTTTGCTGGACTTTACTGCAGCAAAAAGTTCAACTGATCTAAAATCTTATTTCTATATAGTGGGAGAGTAAGGATTTCTTTTTTTGTGACCCAAGGTAGTTCTAGGAATGCAAAAGAAGTCATTCTACAAACAGGGAGTGATTACGGAGGGATTCATCACCCCCCTGGCACCCCTGACAATGGTAAGGACACCTGGCAGGTAACAGACAGACTTGTTTCCATCGCCATCATTATCTGGCCCAGATGTCTAGGGAGCTACTCCACTTATCCAGGCTTCAGTTTCTTCACCAGGACAATGATAGGGTTGAACGACATTATCTCATAGGTCTCTTCCAGACCTAAAGGTATGCATTTTCTGAGAGGAGGCAACTCTGAATTATAAAATCCAACAAAAACATACTTTACTTTAAAAATGATGTGATGATTCTCAGCATCCCTAATATTGTTAAAATATAACCATTAATTATATCTTGTCCAGTAACTGCCTCAAGATATATCCAAATGCTAAATTCATTTTAATGCATTTTCTGAATTGAATTAGGGTTTATAAATTTTAACTGTGAAGAAACTGAGGGGTTTCCAGGTGCCAGTAATGGATGGCACCTCACAAAACACATGGCTCACATTAGTTCTTGTCTTACATGTCCACCAGGATGCTGCTTAGAGATCAGCCCAGTGACTCCTGCATCAATAGCTGGTGTGGGGTACTCACAGCCCCCACAGAGAACTACACATACTTAAATACCATTTTTAATTATTTCAATGTTGCTGTTTTAACTCATCCCTCACTAGAGACAAGCAATAATATCTACTAAAGGAACAATTTTCTCCAAGTCAAGGGAACAGTAAAAAAAACAAATATTCGGACCAACACAATCTTGTAAATAGAGTACAACTGTAGTATCATGCACAAAGAATATGTTTTTCATGTTTATTTCTCCTTCCTTTCACTTTTCCTTATTTTTTTCACAAAGAAATAATAGGATATGGGTTCTGGAAGGAATTTTACAGATCACTAGTAGGAATAATAGTAATCATTTATAAAATACCTTCACTATGATAGATACTTCAGATATGTTAAAACTAAATCTCACATCAGGCCTTAAGGATTGTTATCCTCTACAGATTGAAAGCTTAAGCAAGGTTTATAGAGATTAAGTGATTTACCCATGGTCACACATCTTGTACGAGGTAGAGCTCCTGTTCCTTTATAAGTGACAGGCTCTAAATGACTGACGGAGCCCTGGTCCCTCATTTTGATTCTCCCAATGTGACCTACAGAGATGAAGTGACTTGAAGCAAGTCATGTGGTTTGTTACTGGCAGAGCTGGCATCAGATCACCCGACACCTGGCCTTGTACTCTTTTCTTAATCACCAGGTTGGACAATCTGGCCAACCATCATCCACCTAACGTACTACTTTTGTAATAATTTCATATAGTCTGACACCAAAACAAAGTGGTTAGGTCAGCTGGGCAGCTATGTTCTAGGAATGAGACTGAAAGACTGTGTATTTTCATTTGGTTTTCAAAAATACTTTCACCTACCATTGCAGAGACTATATGTAAAGTCACTATGTTTTACTGCTACTGGACTCTGTCTAACACACACACATACACAAACGCACACACTCAGAACTTGGAGACAGCTGCATACACAGAAAATAATAGAAGCTTTTTCTTTTTAATATCCTCAGAAACACAACTGAATGACCAGTGTTCATCCTGTTGCTGTGAAAAATAAAAAAATCAAAACAAAATCAGAATCATCCTCTGCTCCTCTAGAAATTGCAGTACAAAGAGCTTTGTACACGTACTCCCAAGGTGATCAGAAGTCATTCAGTCTTCCTTAGATTCTTTCAGTGGCTTATCATGTCTTCCTTTTTTCCCTTACTGATTCAGCAGATCCCTGGTGGGTGCCAGGAAACTGTACTTTATTTTAAATTGTGGTAAAATATACATAACATAAAATTTACCATTTTAATAATTTTTACATATATAGTTCAATGACATTAAATACATTTACCTTGTTGTACAACTGTCACCACCATCCATCTCCAAAATTTTTCATCTTCTCAAACTGAAACTCTGTATCCATTAAAGACTAACTCCCTGTTTGCCCTCTCCCCAGCCCCTGGCAACCACCATTCATTTCTGTCTCCATGAATTAGACTATTCTAGATCTCTCATATATAAGTAGAATCATAGAATATCTGTCCTTTGTGTCTTGTTTAATTCACTTAGCATATTTAATTCAATGTTCATCCATGTTGTAGCACATCTTGGAACTTTATTCTTTTTAAGGCTGAATAATATTCCATTATATGTATATACCACAATTTCTTTATCCATCCATTGACAGACATTTGGGTTGTTTCCATCTTTTGGCTATTAATAATGCTGCTGTGAATACTGGTGTACAAATATCTGTTCAAGTCCCTCCTTTCAATTATTTTTGGTATATCCTCAGAATCCATAGCTTTCTGTATAAAATCCAAAGGCCTTGTGTAATCCACCTGTTTCCCCAACAAGCATATGTCCTATCTCTCTCCCTCTCCTATCATTTTCCCCTTATTTACTCAGCTTTGCCCACACAGATCTCTTTCACCTTCCTCTAACCCACAAAGCATACAAACATCAGAGCCCTTGCCTGTGAAGTTGGGTCTCACTGCCTTAATTTTCCCTCTAGATATCTGCCTAGTCCGTTCATTTACTTCACTCAAGTTTCTGCTCAAACACCGTTTTGTTTGGTAAGCATTCTCAAATATACAATATAAATTAATATACCCTCTATTATTTACTCTCTGTTGCTTTACTCCACTGTCCTTTTCTTCTTTCTCCTACTCAAAATCAGACATCCTGTTTATTTACTGGTTTGTTGTATGTCTACCCACTTAGGATGTAAATCAGATGAGATCAAAAACTTGTTCCTATTTTGTTCTCTGATGTAGCTCCAGGTCCTAGAACAGTTTCTGATTCACAGTGGACAGTTAGTAAATATTTGATGAGTGGTAGGATCATTGACTGACTGACTGAATATCTGCACAAAAAGGCATGTATGATACTTGCCACAGTACTCTTTATAATAAAAAAGTAAATATCCATCATTAGGGAGTAGTGAAATGAAATAGATATAACCATACTACAAAATAATCTATGGCTATAAAAAGAATGAGGTAACTCCCTTTATATTTTGGTATCTACTAATACTAAAAATGTTCCTGAAATAGTAGTGAGTTTAAGGGTAATTTACAAAACAGTACAAATATATGGTAGAATGTATAGAACACTCATGAGTTACCTTTGGCTACTTAGATTGGATGGTGAAAGTAGTAAGGGAGATCCTTCTTTATGAATTATCTGAAAAATCTGCAGCGAAGATATATTTGTGTATTACTTGTATATCTTGAAAATACACAGACATATAATAATAGACAAATAAAAGATTACATGTAGGATAGATGAAGAGTACCTGCTTTCATCCCTGTAAGAAATAAAATTTAGTATTTGGGAATTTTGGAATTCTGCATAATGTGCTAAAAGTCTGGTGATGATACTTTTGGAATATTAAGATGATGGAGATAAGAGATAAGAGAGAGAGATAAGAGCCCTTAGAATATAGGATGGAAAGTGTAGCAATTGTCTGTTGCTGTTTCCCTCTCTTCCCTCACCATTCCGTATGCATACATTTGCATATATCACATGCATACACTTGCACTCATATGCATACATCACCAGCCATATGCATACATCTTTATGCTAAAATATTGTCAAAACATAGAAATTAGCATTTCTATGTTAAATTATATAACATATTATGCATATTCATAGATATTAATATGTAAAAAGATGCACACCAAATTATTAACAGATGTTATCTCTGTTCTTTTAAATTTAAAGGATTTTTTTCCTCCTTACTACCTATTTGCATATTTTTTCAGTTTATAGTAAGTATTAGTTATTTTTGTAAAGTGAAAGAAAATAACTACTTTTTAAATTTTAAAAAAAATTCAGAAATTAAAAGAAACCTAATTTTACCTTGTTATGCAACACACAGAGTAAGTCTGCAAACCAACGGAAGGACTGGATGTCTCTGCACACCCAAATAAAATACAGTCTTCTAAGCTTATATGGTTTCCAGTCATCCCTTTAAAATTAAAATAACACAATGATGATTAGGATGGCGAATAATTAAAAATCCCTGTATCTTTGAAAATTTGCTTTTCTTTAGTAACCAACAGAAAAACCAGTCATTTACTTTCTTGCATCTGACATAGCACTTATGTAACTCCCAAACGAATTTAAAATGAAATATACTGACTCAATGACATGCTATATTCCATGAATTTAAGTGTTTATGCTTGCCAATATTATATGCATATCACCTATTTCCAGCTAAAGGCAATACACTAAGCTTCTGGATCAAAATGGTATCAGCCCTGCATCTCAGAAGAAAGTTCTCTATTTTCAGTGAATTCTGTCACTCAGCAGGGCTCCACTGGTCCTTGGTCTTGCTCTGGCTTCCAGACAAAATGAGCCAAAACTATTTCATAAAGTTGGTTGTTTATCCCCTTCTTAATAACTTTTAAAGAAAGAGATTTAACAACCACTTACAATCTGATACATTCCAGTAACTTGTGATTCCAAGTCTGGATTCCTATTTACAACTATGAAATAGGTTTGAGGATAAGAAAATATTCTTCCCTTTTCTTAACTTAAGGCGTCCAAATAATTTGCAGTATGTTTTCAGAAACAAGTGATATCTGGCTTAGACTATGGTTATTTTTCTAAGAACCTTCAAAAAATTCCATATTTATAGCAAGTACTTAAAACTGAAATGAAATAGCATTCAAGCACATCGCTTCAACTTATTGTCTCCCTTTTAGTACTCTATAATAAACAGATTTTAAAGCAAATTGTCTTCTTGGGAAGTGAATGTAACACGTTTGAAAATGATTTCCTGTTGTCATTTGACTTGTATTTTCATGACAATACCAACTAACTTTTGCTTATAATCCTAGAATCTAAATAACTGAAAAAAGTATCTGGTTAAACAACCTTACTTCTGAAATTTCTATTCTTCAGTCTGTCATAAATTCGCTGAGTAATAGACCAAGGAATGATGTGCTCATTTATCATCTCAGAGAAGCTTTTCTTGATCATACTTCTACAATAAACCTGGCCCTTTACTTCTATATCCCATTAATCTCTCCTAATACCTTCTGAAATAATGCTATTCATGATATCTCACTTGTTTATTTTTCTCCTACCCCATCTGGATGTAAAGTTTCAAGAGCAGGGACTCTGGTGTATTTGTTGCTCTATTACCAGCATGTATAAGATGGATTGGCACATGGATGCTCAAAAATATTTGTTGACTGAATGGATGAGAAGTGCCACTTAGCATGGAAGAGGAAGTAGAGAAATGAAGGCTGGTGGAATGGCTTTAATTTAAAAAAAAAAAGGACAGAAGGACGCATAATTCTGATGCTGGTATATTTTTATAAGACAGCATGCTGAAAGCCACACTCCACATATTGAGAATCACTGATTTATTCTTTCCCTTCATCTACCAGTAAATGGAGTTCCCTGCAGAGCAAGTACAGTGGTTGCCCCCTCAGTCTACAAGACAAAGGTTTAGCTCTCCGCGGTTTACCTGAGGTCAACCAGGGTCCTCATTGTCAGAAAGTTAATATGTAGCTTCATGCTAAGGCACAAAGCCTACATCATTCACCTCACTTCAGCTCATCACATAGGCTTTTTATCATCTCACATCACCACAAGAAGAAAGGTGAATACAGTACAATTAAGTTTTTTTGAGAGACTACATTCACATAAGTTTTCTTAGAGTATATTGTTATACTTGTACCTTTTTGTTATAATTGTGATTATTCTCTTACTCTGTTTCATTTACAAATGACACTTTATCATATGTATGTATGTGTAGGAAGAACAGCATATACAGTGTTTGGTACTATCTACAGTTTCAGGCATCCACTAGGGGGTCCTGGAACATAAACCCTGCACATAAGGGGGGCTCCTATTGAGGAATTCTTTAAGGAATTACTTCATATTAAAGGAGAGAGACCTGAAATATTGACAGTTCTCTATTTGGACAAATAAAACTGATCAAAACGACATACAGCAGAGTGTTGAGTATAGATGCAAATGGAGTAACTCCGATGCCTCCAGCCACACAGAGGCTGATTTCATAGTTCAGTGATTCCTCAAATGGGCTTCCGAACGGACCATCGATGTACAGGCTGTGGAGAAGGCAGATGGAGGTGAGGAAAATGAAAATAAGTTAATATTCTATAATATGTAGTAAACATGCTGAATCTCAATTCTAGGCTTTGTGATGTCTCAGGCCTTATTTCATTGTTTCTCATAGCGATAAGCCTAAAGGAAAAAGAAAGGTTGTATATGAACTATCATCTGAACAGGTACATCTAAGCATGCTCTTTTTTGAGGGAAATATTAATTTAAAAGTATAGAGAAATGTATATAGGGCCATGACAGACAACTAGGGACAAGTTAAAGCTCTGATTATATTACTGTATTTGACTGAATGAAATTACAAATTGCTTTACCATGTCAAAAGTTAATAATGGTTTCTTCAATGGCAAAGTCAGTAGCAGAAATATTTACAAAGCATTTACTATATGAAAAGAAAAGTAACAGGAGCAAAGAATAGAAGCTAACACATTCCTCCCCTCGCCCTAGTTAGGTTTATTAGCACAGGAACAGCTAGAGAATAATCTCAAAGGAATCTCTCATCACTCTACTTGTGATTATACATTCAGATGTGTGTGTGCCTTTGTGAAATCCTTGTTAACTACAACAAAATTCTCTAATTGTTCACTCAATCTTTGTCCTCCCATGCTTTCTTAATAGCAAAACTCAGTAACAAAGCCCAGTCCAAACACCGCACTTCCCCAAATCCCTTGCATACATTCTGGCTATATGTGACTATGTTCTGGTTGACATGGTATAAATGGAAGTGCGATTGGGAAAACTGGAAGGCCCTTGAAGGAAGCTGTCTCAGTTGACAATGGTCTCTTTATCCTTCCCCCTTTCTTTCCTCATTTCTGGTGCCTAAATATTGACTTCATGGTCTAAATGCTTATCTTTGATGACTGTAAAACTATCATACCCTTTATGACACACCCAGTTACAGATATCTTTATGTAAAATAGACACTTATACAAATAAGGCAGTCTTGTTTTAATGCTTTTTCTATTACAAAGAAATAACTTCCCTAAAAAAATAGTAACTGGCCCCAAAAGTGCATTCATGGTGTCAACTTATGATGTACATGTCTTTTATGATTAGATCACAATAATAGACCACCTAAAATGAGGCATCTGTAGACTTAACCAGGTATATGTTTGATAAATGTTGAATTCATGAGTGAATAGTCTTTTAACCTCTGAGCTCTGTGGCATGCAGTCTGGGTTAGATACTACTAGTCATTGCCAAAATCTGGTTTCCTTTCCTGCTGGGTACTCAGCAGAACATACTTCCTGGGCTTTTTGTGGTTATACTGAGTCATACGTCTAGTTCTGACCACTGGGCTGTGAGTGGAAACAATTTGTTACTTCTGGAATGATGCAGGGAAAAAGGTTCTTTTTCATGGGAACTAAAAGACATTGGTATTTTTTAAAATATTAATTAGTATTACATTACAAATACTATAATGAAAAACTACTTATGACACCTCAAGGAAGAATAACCAATGTTTAAATGCTGAAGGTAGTGTTCTAAACATAGCAGAAATTTAGAAAATACTGATAGATCATATCCTCACAATATGCTTAATTCTCATTACATCCATTTCATTCACAATTAATTGCTTATTCCCTAAACCAATATGCTCCATGAACTATTTCTGTGATACTAATCTGGGTAGAAAGATTAGAAGATGACACCATCACTAGCCTACCAGAGTTTTTGCATTTTCATATGGAAACCACATTAAATGGATTGGAGGATGAAAGAATTACTACAATGCATTGATCATTTTAAAGACAAGACCTTCCTAAAACATAAGTGATGAAATTGGCAGATAATTTTAACATTTATTTTAAGAGTAGAATTTAGGATAGGATTCATTGTGCTTGTCTAAAGGAGTTCAGTTTTTCAAGCATGCTGCTTTTATAAAGATATGTGCACTGAACAGAAAAGGAACAACTTTAAAATTTAATGATTTTATATTTGAAATTTAATGATAATATATTGGATTCTTAATAGAAATCTCAAAATATCAGTGCTCAGAAATAATTTATATGAATTGATTCTACCACTTCTCACCATGTAAGCAAATCTGGAACACAAACATTAAGAAAATTGGGATTAAAAAAAAGTCCTTCTAACTGCAAAAACAGGACTATTACAAATCTCTACAACTATTTTAGAATCCACAAGGCCTAGTGCAATCTTCTCTTATTCATGCATTCAACAAATGCTTTTATGTACCTGCAATGTGCTGGACCCTGTTCAAAATGTCAGTGATACAGAAGTGAACAAGTTAGAAAAACTCCCTGGCCTCATGTCTAGTGGGAGAGTGACTAGCCCATAAATTAACATACAAAAAGACCTATAATGCCATACAGTAATTTTTGCTTTTAAAAAATAGATAAAACTTAACAGTCATTGAAGCTAGGTGATTATTACATAAAAGTTCATTATACTGATCCATTTTTGTATATGCTTGAAATTTTGCAGAGTTAGTTTAAAAGAATAGTTGGAGAAGGTCTCTCTGTGCAAGTGCCATTTGAACAGGCACCCCAATGAAGTGAAGGATATACAAACATCTGGGAGAAGAATCTTTCCAGCAGGAGTAACAGAAAGTATAAATAAGCAGAGCATTTTTGGTGCAAGTATATATTCACACTAGTTAAACCCTCCTCATGAACTTCCAACTCAGTTTCCCCATTCAATCTCCTGATAATTGTGTTTTTTTAATTTTTCTTTGTCAGGACTACCCACTCTCTGGACTACTCCAGGCTGTTTCCTGTCCATGAACAAAAATATTAGCATCTATCCTATAAAAGGCACTTTTGGGGTGCTGGAGATCACGGCAATGAACGAGAGGCAAAACTCCTTGCCCCTGTAGAGGGCTTCTCTATGGGGTGATTATCTAACACATCCTTCATTATCATACACTTGTTGAGTATCTTCTAAGGGCAAAGTCCTGGACATAGGAAAGTATGTCTCCTGTGAGCAGCAGTTCTGATGCTGCCCCCTTGTTTACTCATGCCTGCTTCTTAAAGGAGAAACAGACACAAGGACAATTTATTTGAGCAGCAAAGCAAAGAAAATAGTCATGAAAAACACCTCCTTCCTACTTGTCAGCTTTCCAATGCGTATGCCCCCCACACACCTTCCTGATGCCCTACACCGCTGTTCTTTGGTGTTCCCGAATAACTGTGGGCAGAACAAGAATTCAGGGTTCTGGCCATTTACTAGGGTTGGGATTACTGACAAGTTGCTTGTCCTTTCTAATTCTAGTATCTATCATTTCTAGAACAAATCAGATGTGATGACACAGAAAAAGCCTGCTAAGAATTGCAGAGAGCCACAACTATCAGAAATGCTTTTGGTTGATGGCACCAATGAGCGCACTGTTGGGCTGTCAGACAGCCAGCATGGGATGAGAAACGCAGATGGAAATGTGGTTTGAAGGGCCTTAGGGAACCAGCTGCTTTTTCATTTGAAATGTTTTTTGCACAAGGTGAAACAAAATTTTGCTTTTTTGGGAGGAAGAATGAAAAGTGAAATTACCGGTAGTTTATTACATGACAACACGTGGGTTTTGGGTGAGAAGGAAAGAGGAACTACTAAGTCATTTTTTATATATTTAGCCTGATTAATGGGCAAAATCTATGCCTTTAATTTATGAGCAGTGATTTTTCTCCCAAGGTCCCTATTTCTTGGTCATTAAAAGAATGCTGTATTAGTAGTATCATTAATATATGTGACAAGATTACAGAAACTAAAGGCAACTCTTCAAAGTCTTACAACACAGGAAGATGAGATCAACCTGATGTATTTTTAAACTTCAGTTGATGACTAATGTGAAGTTCCTTTTTAAAGGACTGTGGATATGTGAGAATTCTAAGAAAAGGAGGGATCCTCTTCCCTGACCCATTCAAAAACATGCAAACATTTTTTGAAATCTCAGTAAGTTTTTCCCTTGAAGGTAGAATCCATTAACATGTTCAAAATTGATTTTATTGTTTTAATGAGTAATATCATTGACCAGCTGGTAGACCAGTTACATCAGATCTTCTTATGTCAGTGGAGAAACCATTCAGCTACAAATTAATCCAACTATAGTAAAAAATAGAAACACAACCAACACTTCTTGAAATCTTGTTTCCCAATACTTGCTATCACTTCTCCCAAAACACATAGATACCCTAATAAATTAAAATAGAACTTATTTAGACAATAAAGACTTCTGATAATAGTCAGAATTTGTGAAATTATTTTAAGAAAAGTATGTTTACTACTTAAAAAATAGATATTAATTATACCAGTATTTCTTAAAACGGACTTCAAAGGACAGTAACATAGGGGAGAAAATATTTTGTGATCAAGTAAATTTGGGAAATGTGCTAATAAAAGGTTTTGTGTCTTTGTTTAAGTATTTTTAATTCAAAACATCTTTAGGTCTTTAACATGCTATTAGTGCCTTATTAATTTCCAAGCAGGAGTACAATACTTTGTAAGCATATTTCAATGTAAATTATCTTTCTCCACAAAAATATCTGCAAAGATTTTAAATAATAGAGAACAAGTTAGAAAATGGAGCCCTAAAATCAAGAAGCAGCATTCCTCTTTAACAGACTACTTCCACTTTGAGGCTTCCCAAAGAATAACTGGCTACACTAGACACTGCAAAAATTACTGTCAAGAGTGAAAAATGGTGGTTGGGGGGGATTAACTTGCTTTTATTTTATTCAACATATAATAATGGAAGGCTTACTATGAGCCCACCACTACCTGCTGCAGCAAAAAAAAAAAAAAAAAAAAGATGAAAAAGAAAAAACTGAGAGAGTAATTGCAATGTCTCAGCTCAAAGGAGTATAAAGACAGAAGTGGCTAGGACAAAAACACATGCAAGTATTAAATAATGCACAACTGGAGACATGACCTGTGTGTTATATATCCACACTACATATACATGCACCTTTCACATATTATCTATCATGATCTTAACACTTTATGAGGGTAGGAACAGTATTATCATCCCCATTTA